ACTCACGTGCAGCCATCGGACATGGAGAGAAGTAACGCTGTGAACTCAACAGGGTCTGGGTTCTTGGCTCCGTTTTTGTCAGAGGAACAGCTGTGATGTCTGCAGTTGAATGTCCCAAAGCGGCTGTTTTTGGCAATGGCACCTTCTTAAAACTCCTGGAAACTTGAAAACTGCTGTAAATGTTGCTCGAGATTTCCACATTGCAATACTAGTAAATACCACAGGGGGATGGACTTTGAAGAAGAAAGACACATGGGTGGCTGATCACTATAATAAACCAATGCTGTGTCATGATCAACATCAAGATTTGCAGATCCTTGCAGCAGCAGAAGATCCCCGCAATACCACGGTGTATAATCCTGGATTCCTTTAGGCTCTAAACCAGGGGTGTCAAACTCAAGGCCCGGGGGCCAAATCCGGCCCGTGACTTCATTTTCTGTGGCCCCACAAGAGCTTGCAAAGAATATAATATGTTTATTATACGGTTACATGATGATTTACAGAAGCACGTGGCCCATAAAGTACATGTCCCGTAATGCATCTCAAATTTGACTTTTTTTCTCAGAATTTGACTTTTTTTCTTCTAAATAATTATGCCTTTTTTTTTTTAAATGTCACTTCTGATTTTTGATTTTGACTTTTTTTTCAGCTTTTCTTTTTAAATCATTTTGTGACATTCTCACTGAAGAGACTTGCAATTATTTGCCCCAGACTTCTGCTTTCAGACGTAGTAAATTATGAAGTTATTACCCTATCAGATAATAATCCAATACAGAGGCAATAATGTAATATAATACATTATTTTATATATATATTTATATATAAGTTACAACCGGCCCTTTGAGTGCAGCCATAATGCTGATGTGGCCCGCGATTAAATTGAGTTTGACACCCCTGCTCTAAGCGAAGTAAAACTGTTACAATTAAAGCAATAACTGCTTTAATGGTCAAGTATGTGATGTATGTAAATTCACCTTTTTGTCATGCCTGTGGAGCTTGAAACTGGAGAGGGTTGCCTCCTGTTGCCTTACACACACAATGGATTAGATCTTAACAAATGTGGCTGTACTAGTTGTGTTACTTCTCTGTTTAGCACACGACTATGTCTCTGTTTTTACTCCATCTGAAAAGTGCCTTTTTTAGCTTGTGTCTTGAGCCATGTATAAACACTGAAATCTGATCATATATTACCATGTAAGATCACTATATGTCTGAATGTTGCCCTGCTGTCCTGATTCAAACACACCGTACATGTCTGCTGTGAGTCAGATGTGTGTAAGATGTTGTTAATGAACTCAGTAAACTCTTGGTCGGATGCACATACTTGCCTGTGCTGGTGTTGTACTGTTTTATGAAGCGCTGAAAACATCTGAAGACATGATGACTCTGAAACGCGTGAGCCTGAAAGTCTGTGAGTGAGTTTCCGAGGAATTCACTTCCTGCCAGCTGCTTTTACTGTGGTTGGAACAAACTAGTTGTTATGCAGTTTCATGACGGAGCGGGACAAAGGGAACTATTTGGGTGTAAGGCAATACCCATAACATTGTCCTCACATACAAATTACCTTGTCTTTACAAGTGTTGCTCAGAGAACTATATTTAAAGTGTTTTCTTTCTCTTTACAAATTATCTTTTTTCTACCCGTGGAAATACACAAAATCAGTGAATTCAGGCTGTCTAAAATAACAATTAATTAAAATCACACAACTGTAAGATGAGATCAAGTTTCTCATCTTGTCTGTGAACATAAAGGATTGTTTGGCAGCGGTTCAAGCACACATCTGATACTCTAGGTTGCTATTGTGTTTACGGAAATTAATTCATGTAATGCTGCTCTGTTTTTGCTATCAATGTTATGAATGTAATGTTTCACTTAATTATGCAGTAGATTAAGCCTTAAGTTTAATCAGATCAAAATGGAGGCTTCCTTTTTATCATTGGGTCTTTACAAAAAGTGGGTTGAAGATGGATGTTTATGATGGTTTTGGTATTATCTGTTGTTCAATTATCCCGATTTGGATTACAAATGATCATTCAAACAGCTTTGAGTGCAGCACTGCCTTAAATGTTGATTATCTTTTAGCTTTTTTTTTCTTGGATGATGTTGAAAATACACTTTATTTAAAAAACAAAATGAAGTAGTCTGTGCTCCTTGTAACTTGAGCATGACAGTGGGGCTTGTGATTGTCTGTTTTCTCTCTCTTTATTATCTAAAGTCGTTTTCAGTCTTAAGCTTTCTAGAAATTGTCCCTATATGGGCAATGATTGTGAATTCTCGCTTATATTTAGGAACCCTCTTTCTTCTGAACCCCTGCCCATATCCTGAGGATAATCGGCCATTACTGAGAAATGATCTCTGTCTCTTGTGTGTGAACCACAGCAGGAAGGAAACTGATCCACTGCCACGAGGCTGATCATCCAGCTCGTCGACTGTAATCCCAGCCTCGCATGCGTCTGCGATGTTAACCCTGTTTGAGTTGAAAAGGTCACAACAGCAAGCAATGGCACATTTACTTGAAGAGGAGACTTTGATGTCCTGGTGGGCCGAACATCCTGTCGGCCTCCCCATAAACACCTCTGGGGGTACAATTCAGAGGGGTGGGGAGGGGTGAGGAGGGTGATAAAAAACCGACCTGTAGACCCCCATTCGAATACAAACCACATAAGGGAAGTGGAGTAGGAGTGGAAGAGGGTCGAGTTGCTCTGATGTTGCTCCTCTGACAATGGTGGGAGGAGTTGCCACCTTTCTCTGGGTTATTGACAGTTTATCTCCCTCTGACCTCCAGACCTGAGGGCAGGCTGAGGGGATGGTTGTCTTGAAACGCTGCAATTTCAGTGTTGTTCAAGTTGTTCCTGCCAACAACCGCAACAACCCTCAAACAGGCCTCTGTCAACAACCTCAGACCTCCCCCTCCCTCCTCTCCCCTGTCCGTCTCCCCCTCTGGTCCATTTCTCCTCTGCCTGTGGGCTACAGGGTCAGCCTTTTTTTTTATATAGCTGCCTTATCATTCCACTTATGTAGGAACACAAAGGACCTGGCCCTCAGATAAAGAGCCTAAAAAGTAAAGGATAAAGATTGAGGGAGATGGTTTATTTGCATGATTCCTATAAACTAGTGTTTATGTTACCTGTTCATTTGATGAGTATAATGCACAGGAAACCATCTCCATCTTGCATGCTTTTTTTCCTCAAACTTTTTTAGATCTAATATAACGTGGGATACGTTTACTACAACATGTTGCCAGATATTTTTCTAGACATTATCTTGAAACAAGACAGACAAAGCAGAATGAAACTGCTGAAGCTGAGAAATAAAGAAAAATGATACTTTAATCTAAAATAAATATTGAAACAAGTTGGTTTTCCTTGGCAACATGTCAAAGAAAATATAAACCCAAACAACAATTTGGCAAGATATACATTTTTGCAGTTATTTGGAGAAAAACTAATAGATTATTCAATTGATACATTACATAATTAAACAACAAATTGAAACAGAAAGTATGTTTTCTTTAGAAAAAAAAACATTTATGTCTCATTACTTAACAAACGTCTCTTGTTAAGATTGGATGTCACTTACTTGCTTTTAAGGGAGCACAAACTACGCTAAGGAAGAGTTTTCTTCTGTGTCTGTGCATGAATGAGAGAAACTGATTTAAAAGTTTGATCGGAGCAGAAACATCTCTGTCTCCTCTGATCCCTCAGCAGGCTTTGAAGTGCAAGTAGCATTGTGTCAGAGAGATCTCTCCATTTGTTTTCCTCTGAAGTCTCCAGGCCCCCCTGCGATGCATTCACTGAATTTACAAGGTGTGTAATTTACCCTGCGTTGGTTTTCTAATCTTTTGAGTTGCTGAGATCAAACATGTGCTTCTTCTTAAGACCAGCTTGTTTGATTCACATGCTCTCTTTTGTTTCTGATAACAACTGATCACAGCTCTATGTAAGTATCTCTGTAGGGTTGTAAAATAGTGCCATGAACAGAGCTCCATTTAATTGTATCCAAGTATCCACATACAGGGTTTTTTAATTAAGATAAGTTAAGATGATAAGATGAACCTTTATTACCTATATAATGGAGAGTGTAACCCATTTTATAAAAAGCTGTGTTAACACATTGTGTTACTAAGACTCAACATATTGATATAAATACTTCTGAATTTGTGGTTTCTTCCAAACATTTAATAGAATTAATAAATAGAGACAAAATGAAGTATGTTAATGTGAAAAGAAGCAGAATGACTTTCAAATAAATGATATATCAATGTAAAGGTTCTTTTATATGCTTTCCCAAGAGGAAGGAAATATTCAGATCCTTCAAAAGAAAACTACCACAGTGAAAAGGTACTCCATTATAAGTAGACTTATGCTAAATATTTATATACATATATATATTTATAGGTAAAGATAAATTAGGCCTAAGCAAACAATGCTGTAAAATGGCCACTTTGTAATTGATATAATATATTTGAGTTATGAGTTATTATAACAGATGCATTAATGTGTTAGTTGTATTTTACCTATTTGGAATGTACTTAGGTTTACTGCACAACAATGAAATAAAGTGTAATGTACACCATAACAAATACAAATAATGGCATCAAATAGAAATACTCTAATAAAGTACCTTCATTTTAACATGTGCACAGTACTTAAGTAAACATACCTAGTAAAATCCCACGACTAATACTTTGTGTATGTTAATTCACCTTTTTTTCACAATGTCCCATCCACTCATTATTTTAATAGTGAACGTTGGGCCTCACACTATCACTGCTTAGTATTATGTTCATGTATATTCTTGACTTCAGCCAGTGTAAGGGTATAACAGTCACTTCACTCCATAATCACTCACTATAGAGAAACAATGTCAGTCTTGATGGCACTTCTTCCATTACATTGCTGTTCCCGACAGCGCGTCGCAGGGATGCAGCCAATCCCAGAGCCACATTGAAAGCTGAGGAGAGGGGAGGAGAAAAGGCCCAGGAGGGCTAGCAGGAGCTTTTCCTGCTTCATCTGTTGCAAAGCTGCGGGAGAGGCGGCGGTCAATGCATCCTGCTAGCTGAAACAGAAGAAACTTTGCGTAAACGTACACAGTATCAGCAGGGAATCCATCGACAGACGCAAATGAAAAAATATACGGATTACTCAGTTAGCGGTTTTTTTCGTGCGTAAAACTTCTGGTTACTGGACTATGCGCAAACTTGTAGCCACTGTAGAACCTACACGTCTTTTGAGAGCTGGCCTTTTTACAGTCACATTTACATTTTGAGAAGTGGACGTTTCAATGAGCCTTTTTATGCGACTGTTACGGGCTGCAGACTAAAAAAAAGACGCACCATTATAATCGCTTGGAGTCGAGGGGGAATTTGGAGACTGCAGACATGGGACCATTTGTCATCTGCGCGTTTCTGCTGTTAAAAGTAAGCAACTGTTTTTTTTAACTAACACACTTATTTCCACTGCAAAAAAAAAAGCCTTTATAATCTGCTGATTTGCTATTTCACACTTTTCATAATCATAACATGTAGCAACCATTGTGAGCTTCAACCAGCGAGCTCAGTCTTAAACTATTGTTCCCAAAGGAAATGTGTTTTACACCGACACGGCTATCACACGGCCCCTGTTGGTGAATATGTATGTTGTCATTCTGTAGTTGGAAAGTTACAGTGGATGGACTGAGAGGGGACAGATTTAACCCTCACCCTGTTCTTTTAAAGTCTCATGACCGAATAAAATTAAACCACTGCTTTTTTGGTGTGCTATATTTGTGCTTGTCTTGTCTGTGGCCTACCTAGTTATCTCAGACTGACTTTCACAAGACAACCTTTAAGGTATTTATTAAAGACTCATTGAGACAGTGATCATACACCTTGGAACATCAGACAAGAACAAAGCACAGGAGCACACAATTATCTTGGATTAAGCTCCCACACAGCGATAAATGAAGTATTTTAAAAACAAATTATAGTTTCAGTGCTGTTTAATAGCATATTATTAAACCAGGATCCGTGTGAATAGAAGGCCTCCACAGTTGCAGACAATAATTTGACACTCATCTACCTCAGAAAGCCCATGGGGCTTGTAGTCCTGTCTGGACATGCTCCTCAGAGTCAAAGCACTTTTGTTAGATCAAAGTATTATAAAACTTCAGCTTGTAAAAAGATGTGTTTCTCCTTCATATTACTAGGGTTTGATATCAGAAGGGTTTCTTTTTTAAATCTCTAAGATCCGTTTTCTCAAACAAACAGGGACTTAAAGTGTGTTTCACACACACTGTCAAGTATTTGTGCTGCAAATAATTATCCTATTACTCACGGGATGATGTGGAGCAGAAGTTGATCGTATCTTACAGTATGTGACAAAGACCTCGTGATTTACTACTTTCTACTAATTTTGCCTTTCATTTATTGCACATGTTGCCATATTTGTTGCGTACAACAATTCCTGGTGAAAATGTGTCCTAGCTTTCAGTATAGCTGGGGTCTGGATATCCGGAGCAAAGCAATTATCACAATTTTCTCCCAGTTAGTGGTGTGTGTGTGTGTGTGTGTGTGTGTGTGTGTGTGTGTGTGTGTGTGTGTGTGTGTGTGTGTGTGTGTGTGTGTGTGTGTGTGTGTGTGTGTGTGTGTGTGTGTGTGTGTGTGTGTGTGTGTGTGTGTGTGTGTGTGTGTGTGTGTGTGTGTGTGTGTGTGTGTGTGTGTGTGTGTGTGTGTGTGTGTGTGTGTGTGTGTGTGTGTGTGTGTGTGTGTGTGTGTGTGTGTGTGTGTGTGTGTGTAAGTGGGGGGCAGTTTAGTTTGTTACCACAGTCATTTGAATTTCCATAGTGTAGTTAAACAGTGTTCTGTGGGGGGCAGACATCAGGATCATTAAGACATTTGAACCTCCTCTCAATTCCTTGGTGTACATTTGAAATCACTACATACAAGGTTAACCAATCCCTGTGTGGTGTCTTGTTTGATTTAGGATTATAGTTTTTGGTGAATCTTTATGCCTGAAAAAATAGAAACCCATGTCTTTTAATTTGTCCCTTATGCTGCCTGTACATAATGACAGTAATCAGTGCAGATGGGATGAGCAGCTATGACAACTTTCCCTCAGCTCTGTCTCTGCTGGAAGACCTCTGCCTGTTGCCCTCAGAGGCAGAATGTGAAGGCTCATGGGGTCATTGTCTTCACACGCAGAGAGCATCCTTTTATGTGTTTATTTTCACGCGGATTAGATTATCTGTGGAAATTCCAGCCTGCGCTCCAAAAGTAGCCTCACTTCAAAAGGGCACAGAAAATGTTTCAGTCAAAGAGAAGACTGAAATTGTGTGTGTGTGTGTGTGTGTGTGTGTGTGTGTGTGTGTGTGTGTGTGTGTGTGTGTGTGTGTGTGTGTGTGTGTGTGTGTGTGTGTGTGTGTGTGTGTGTGTGTGTGTGTGTGTGTGTGTGTGTGTGTGTGTGTGTGTGTGTGTGTGTGTGTGTGTGATCCGCGATGACTGAGTTACTCCGGCAGCCGTGGAGTTGAGAGCCCCATTGAAAGCTGTGCACCTCGGTGGTCCGTCTGTTCTCACTGGGGAATCCCTTCAGATGGCAGCTTCTTACCTTAATGAAAAAATAAACTGCAGCCCCCTTCCCTTTCGACTTTCTGCCCCCAAAGAAACCGATAAGACTGAATACTCCTTGAAGCATGTAAATGAATCTTAGCTTGACAATTGGATATGCCAGAAAGTAGGATGTTGTTGATTTAAGTAGTACTAAAGTAGCATTTTATAAAGTTTGATCCTCTGAAGAGCAAATGAAGAAAGTAGCAAAAATAACTTCTGGTTATGGGGTGGAATTGTACGTTAAAATCAAATTTTCATTGTTAAAAAAATATATATATAATCACATCTTTTTAGATGATAAAGTGTAAAATATATCTCTTTACAGTCTGTGTGTAATACTGGGTGTAATAAGCATTGATTGCACACTCAATATGTTCTCATGCCATGCATTAAATTGCCCACATATAGCACTATTTGTTACACTAAAGACTTAGTCATACCTCTACTGAGTAAATGACTATGCCCACTCGTCTCTCATGGGCCTTGGACTTAATATTTGATTGTACTCAGGGCAAAAGTGGGTGAAGTGCTAAGCCTTTGGCAGTACCTTCCCTCCAGGCAGGCTTACAGAACCCCAGCCCTGACTCACACCCAGGCTCTGTGAAATGACAGAAATCCAAGCAGGGAGGTAAAAATAAAACAGAGCCACTGTCACTAAATATTTATCAAAGTATATATCCAGGGCTAAAAGGTTAGCTGGTGTTAGCAGAGGGGATCCCTCTGGCACACGAAGAGGACCAAAGAGCATTACAGGAAGCCTTCATGCTACAAGTTATTACGGTCCAGGTTTGGTCACAGTCCGCCAACTCCAAACATCCTACTGGTTCCTGCCTGCTGGATCCTACCACCCTGATGCCCTAATACCTCTGATCTGGGTTCTGTGGCTGCTGCTCAGATATCATCAGGCTCCACTGTGAGTGCCGCAGTAAAACTGGCTGTTGTTCTTGGAACGCGGCAAACCTGGTTTCAAAGCTGTTTCTCCTGTAGTATCAGCATGGAACATTTCAGTGTTTTGCGATAGGGGGCATGGCACGTAGTTTCTGTGTGTGTGTGTGTGTGTGTGCGTGCGCGGGTGTGTGCGTGTGCGGGTGTGTGTGTGTGTTTCTGGTGAGCTTTTTGTTGCAGGCTATGCAGGTTCACACATGTTGACTGTGTTTGTTGGCAGACATCAGAGACAAAGAGAGAAGTCAGTGGGTTGTTTAGCTGTTACTCTTCCCCTTTGCAAGAGGTTAGTTGTTAGACATCTGTTTGCTCTTGTCGGCCCCCAGGCAGCGTGGGCCAATCTCCTTCAAATGTGTGCATGTTTAAGATGCCGTCGTTCAGAGCCTGGAGAAGGGGAGTTAGTGAAATACTGACCTCCAAAAACACACCTGGGACTTCAAAGGCCCCCTCCTACCCAAACAGACACTTGCATGCTGGGCAGCCTTGGTTAACTGACACCCTCGCCTGAGGCTGGGACCGTCTCTTTCAAATACCCCACCTCCCCCCTTTCTGGTGTCAATAAATACACACACATTCACTGTATTCACACACACACAACTACACATTGTCATTCGCTGTGATTTGGAATGAGTGGGAGGGCGGAAGAGCTCTTTACTTCTTACTTCCTCCTTTTCTCAGTGTTTTCCTTCGCCCCTTCATGTCTTTTTCTTTCCACTGGTCTAAAGCCATCTGATTAAAGCCAGCCTCTGCTGACAGGCACCAGCCCTGCTGCACAGGCCCATAGGAATGTCTGATCTATCCCTCATGTCATAACCCAAGCTGGGCTCTCCATTACCCACTTGCAGATAAGGACTTAGAGCACTTTAAGGGTGAAAACTGAGGCAGATAGATAGATGAAAAGAGGGCCATTTCGGTTTTCTGTTCTTCATTCGCACAGGGGCAGGAAGTGTGAATGTGATTTTCTTCCCACATGTTTCAAAGGCAGAAAACTCCACAAAACCTCCTCTTTAGTTTTCCTGTTTAGCAACTACTTAAGTTAAATAAGAACCCTGTGACTGCTGATTCTGAATCGCCTCAGACATAAGATGGTATTTGTTTAGTTACACAGTGGTATTTCTATTTATTTACTGTAGGTTACTCTTGGAGATGTCTGTACCAGCGGCCAGTTCACTGAATCGGGGCAGTGTTGCAGTCTGTGTCCTGCTGGCTCCCAAGTGCTGGAAAAGTGTGGGAAAGAGGATACCAAGTGCACGCCATCATGCCCAAAGGGTAAGCAATTATAATCTAATGTTACTGCACCAGTGGCATATGTTTTACCTGCCTCTTCATTATCTCTGTCATCTATGTACAAGCTCTGAAGATTTAAATAGCAACACGTCTAATCATTGCCACTGATATTTGTGAGAGAAAACCAGTTTACCCACACTGACACTGATTTTGTTATCTGTTTCCCAGGAACGTTTTTTTCATCGGATGGCCTCAGCCCCTGCATTCCCTGTACAAAGTGCCCGTCTGGTATTCCCACGCATGCCTCTTGTTCTGGCACTCAAGACACACAATGTAAATGTCGCATCGGCTACTTCTTTTTGAGTCAACACGGCCTGTGTGCACCTTGCTCTAAATGCACTCGAGCTGGCGAGGGTGTTACTAGGGAGTGTGGCCCGCAGGGAGACACGCAATGCCAGATCTGTGCCCCGGGAACTTTTTCAGAGGAGCGTATCAGCACCAAACCCTGCAATACCTGCACCCAATGCTCCGACATTGAGGTGGAGATCCGATCCTGCATGCCCAACTCCGACACACTGTGCATGGGTGAGTTGTAAGGAAGAGTTGGATTATTAAATGCAAGTCTTGAGACATTCCATATTTGTCTTAATGAGAATAAATCCAATGAAAAGACACTTAACAATAAATTGAACCTATTAACTAATAAGCTTTCTCTGTGTAGCCCGAGCCAAAGCCATAACATCCATTGTTGTCAGATAACTACACAGGCACAGTCACTCATTTTGAATTAATCCTACAGTCTCTCTATCAAATAGGCAGCTGAAAATATATTTCAAACTGAATTTACTCCTGTTTTCTAAAATATATTGCAGTTACTGATGTTTTAGTTAACCTTACATTTTTGAAAGATGGAATAACACAATAAAGTTGTTGGTCTTCAAATAGGATTTTCTTGTAGTAGTGCTAGCCTTATTCACTATTTTACAAGTCTTAAAAAGTTTGGAAACATCCCAAATTCAAACTGTATGTTTTTAAGGTTAGATGTATTGTTGGGAAAGTATTAAAGTTTCATCTACATCATCTGTTCATGTAAACAAAGTGTCATTAGACATGTTGTTGTTATGGGTATGAGTAAATTATATATTATTTTTCTGCAATTATTTTTAAAGTTACAAACTAGACGGGATGATTAAGGCTTAGAGAGTCTTGTAGGAGATGTGAAAAAGATGCTTATCCCTTTAAGATACTGCAGGGGCAGCCATAGTAAAAGATGAAAAGATAAAAGAAAACACTAGAGGAATGAGGACAGGGAGTGGGAGAATCTGTGAGAGTACACGGACATGTGTTGAACATATGCATCCACACCTCGCCTGAACACTCTGAGCTGAGAAACATGAGAAGTGGGAAAAGAGAACACTTAAGCGCTGTAATCCGATTGGTATGAGCTTGACAGGTCTTTAGGTTAACTGCCCTCGAGAAACTTGAAGGCAGAGGGAGGCTGCTGACCCTGAGAACTACTCTGCTTGCTCCCAAATGGCTACACTCGCTCTCCAGGAGTAAGGTCATCTGTACACACACTGGGTCCATATGTCATGGCCCTTTGACCCCCGAGAGTTCAGCACAGTACCATGTAGTGTTTGATCCTAAAATAGGCAGACCACAGGAGGGATAGGGAGGCTGGAAACAGGGGCAATGAAAGGTTTCAAAACCCCAGGGGATCAAACGTCTTAGGTTATCATTACATCAGGCGTACAGGCTTCTGTGGAATTATTTCAGGGCCTAATTTATGCAGCCCAAATGTGTTTTTGATGTGCATATGTGCAGATTCAAAGTTACTGCTGCTGACACGTTGCTCCTTTTCTCAATCCCAACAGATAAGAAGCTGCACATTCTGTCTCGTCCTGCTCTGGATGGGTCTGATGCCCCTCGCGAGGAGGAGGAGACAAGTTCTGCCACTGGAACGCCAAATCTTCCCCCGAAGGCCGAGGGAAGCAGCAACAACATCCTGGCCTACGTGTCTGTTCTGGCTGCCGTGGTGCTGGGTCTGATTGTTTACGTTGCTTATAAATGGTGAGTTTACTGGTCATTGGATTTAATAAGGATTGAAGGCCGTAAGATACACATTTGTAACCGTGGGAAGTTTAACTGACGTTGTTTTCTTCTGCTCTTCTCAGTTGGAGATCCTGTAAACAGAAGAGGGCTCTCTCTAAGGCCCGTGCGGCCGAGTTGGGAGCATCTCCAGAGGGAGAAAAGCTCCAAAGTGACAGCGGTGTTTTTCTGGACTCTCACAGCATACAGGACAACCAGCCCAGCAAAGGTGTGGTATAGACACAGTCCTTGTTGATACATCTTCAAGTGATGAGGGACTTTTTAAAATATTTCATCCACATATATATTCATTCAAAAATAAATGTTGAACGTGAAAAGTTCCTTTATTAAACGTATTAAACTCGACAGGGCACCTTTAAGTTCTCAATGTTCCTAACAAAAATAATGACACGAAAGCTTTCTAATTTCATGCCTATGAATTTTGTTTGTGTTTTCCCAGGTACCAAGAGGGACAGCAAGCAGGACAACCGTCTGTACATTAACCTGCCCCCCCACAGACAGGAAGAGGTGGAGCGCCTCCTACAGGAGAGAGAGGGGCGGGGGTGGAGACAGCTGGGCGCCGCGCTGGGTTATGAGCCTGAACAGCTGGACCTGTTTGGGCGTGGAGAGGCCCCCGCCCACACGCTCCTCTCTAACTGGGCCCAGAAAGAAGGCTCCTCTCTGGGACTGCTGTGTTCTGCTCTGGCCCGCATTGAGAGGTCTGATGTGGTCACAGCTCTTAACTCCCCCATGCAAGGTGTTTCTGTGGTGTGACGGCCCCTCGAACACACATAACGCTAAAAGACTCAAGTGAAGAACTTTCATTGAAATGACAAGCAAGGCACTCTGATATCAACACCTCTGTCACTCATGGTCCTATTTGCTTTGTTGGACACTTATAAGAGAACAAAAAACATTCTTGTATCTCTTTTCTCGGCCCCAGTTTATGTGACCGATTGATTTTGTATGAATCCAACTTCAAGTCATAATCTTCTGCAAAGTTCTATCATCGCTGCAGAACGAATACCAACTTTTCTATTGAAAATGAAAACTCTGACCATATAGTATGTTACAACCTCTCATTGCAGCTACTGAGTGAAAAAGATGTTCAATTCTAGTCAAGCCTAAATGCCTTGCTCAATGCACAACATTTTTTACTTTTGTATTAGAACTATAATGACTGACACAACAATAACTATATTTGTAATGTTGTTTACATGAACACAAATCCTGGTATTCGGTTAGAGGCAGGAAACAGAAGAATGTGTTTACACGTGTTGCAGAAGTGTGATTATTCTAAAAACCGCTGTTTACACATTATTTGGGCAGTAATCAGACTTATCCTCAAAAAAAAGATCAGCCTTCGATGTTCTTCTGTAAACAAATACAGCTTAGATCATGTTGTTTGTAGTCTCGAGCCAACCTTGTTTCATGAATCCAACTTCAGAAACTTCTTGGTATTGCAGATGATTTTTTTCCAGACCTTTCAACGACACTGCTCTCCGACATGATGTGACTTTCCCTAATAAGGATCATAGAAAACTCCAAGAAGCAATGAGGGGTTTACTTGACCAACGCAACGGACCAATCTTCCCGATGACGCCTGCAGTTGCTAAGAAGACTGTCTAATGTGTAGATAGTAACTACGCACTAAGTGTTTTTTAAGTTTATCGCCTTGTTCTTTTATTCTTCCTTTTCTGCTGCAGTCACTACGTTGCCTTGGTATTTACTGTATATACATTGGGGATATTAATAACCACCAGTGATGTTTCAAATATCATCAGAAGACACGAAAATGAAGCATTCTGTGTTAGCTCGTCCTAATAATCACATAATGCTTGTAAATATCTTAAAGTGGACCTATCATGCTATATTTGAATAATATAGTGTAGGACCATACCTATATAAGGCATATTTATACTTTTTTTTTTTCAAAATACCAAACAGATCATGCATTTTAGCCATGCCTCATTTTGCTCAATTTGACATTTTTTAGCTCTGTTTTTGCAAGGGTTGATTCTGTGAGAACAGCACCACCTACAGGCCTGGCATATGTACGACAGCGTCTCCAGCGCTTTCGAACAGCAATGGCCGTGGCTGTCTCCTCCTGATTGGTGGAGTTGGCCCAATAGCCGTAGCGCCACTGTCCTGACGTCAGGACAGTGTTCAAATCTGAATCAGTTTTTATCAGATCCGTTGCAGCCCCTTTTTTAGAGATTTGGGTATGGAGGAAAATAGAGAGGGTTGTGTTTTCTGACACTTGGTGAGTTCCCTGGAACACCGGGGACACATTCATGTATAAAAGACGTACAAAAGTGCATTTTGCATGATAGGTCCCCTTTAAATACTGATTCGTTTTGGTATGTCATGGCTTAAAGTGAAATCATTTATGAACTGTGAAGACTGAAAACAGCGAATGGAGAGGAATATATTCTCCTGATATTCATCAAACACAGCTCCATTTACATCATCTTGATTTTGTATAATAGAAACAGAGAAAAGTATGCAAAGACAGTGTTGTCATTGTTTATGTCCAATTTTCCATCTTGCTTTTGTATTTATTCCATCACCATTTCAAATATAAAACTATTGAGAACCATAGGTATCTGCGGTGTACAAGTAACACTATGTGATGGTGTAATCAAATGGTTTGAAATTGTTATGCCAGCCATGTTTGGTTTTGTGTATATATTTCCTAATTGTATGCCTCAATGTGTTTTTCTAAGAGTTTTATTCATTTAATAAATAACTTTGATAAATTGGGGCTCTTTTGTTTTAACAGAAGGATCATATGGGCACAGAAGTTTGTATCCCGTAGACCTGTGATTCTCCCTCAATACTTCTGTTTGTGGTGAGATTGTGAGACATTGAGTCATCTTTCATTCCTGAACACTACGTTTAAAAGAGTGTCTGAACACTCATTACACATAAAGCTGAGCTCTTAAAAAACACCAACATGAGATGGATAAGTCACAATGGTTGAAATAGCTATAAATGATGGATAAAAAGTTAAAAATGATTATACATAGTTAACAGTGAGCTTATACAGTATTACTGGATTGTAAAAGTTAATATCAAAGTAAAGAAAAGTTAGCTCAAAATTATAGAGGGTAAGAATGCTTTAAGTACATGATATTTTAAAGTTATGAATAAATGTTTATAATAAATAAAGGTATCCAAATATATTGGAAAGACAGCTGAAAATGGATGACTAAATGGTTGCAGTAAAGACTAGACAGGGCTCTAAATAATTTGCAGTTTAGCACAAAATTGATCATGTAATTTGGATACGAGCCCTTTTGTTTATAGCCATTCCAAATAAACTGTTTTACGTTCATGGAAATATGATAATTTCTAGACCTCAACCAAAGTGCTATAAACATGTCTATCACTTGCAGTAACAGAAAAACCCACATAATGAATTTCACAGCGATGAAGGTTTGGACATATTGACACTAGTCTGCCCCTTATCAAGGGATTTAGTGTAAAATAACATTTCCTATCCATAACCCTGAGGGAAATCAGTTATTTAATGATGTAAGGGTGAAATGAAAAGAATATCTTCATCCAAAAATATTCTGGAGAAAAGTTTCCTCTCTCTCTCACTGAGGCACAATCTGCTTATCCTGCCCCCCCGCCTCTGCTCAAATCTGTTAATGATCTCTCTGCATTCAGCTCTAAGTGGGAGCAGGCATCTTGCATGGCCTGGGGCAGTGTTACATGCCGTCACACTCTCCAGACGGGACTGCTTAACTGCGGTCTGAAGCACACAGGCATGGGGCTGCGGAATGTGCATACACTGGGAGGGGGGTTGGGACCAGAAGAGACGGGAAGCACAGCAGCGCCTCTCTCCACTCATCAAGGGTTGCCATATTTAGAGCACACTGAAAGTCTCTAATGAAGGCAGTCGATTACTCAAGTTCCTTTCACTGGGTCCAAACATCTGGCTCAGCTGTGTGTACGCGCTGTAGTGGCATTCATGAGGGAACCAGTCTCAAATGGGATTGGTGCACGGAGCGGTTGAACATGCAACAGAGGTCACTCACATTCGCAGATACTAAAGTGAACTGTCCAGCAGGGATATCATTTTACAAAAAGTTTATTATCTCTTAAAATGTTTGTACACTCGTTATGACAATGTGCTTACACAATACTTACAGTAGAGTAGGGTGGAACTTACTTTGTACATAGAAAAATAATAAAAACTAAAAAAAGAAAAAAGGTGAAATCTCCCCCACCACTGGAATAAAACTCGTCAGCAGGGTTCCTTAGTTTGACAGAGCGGTGCGGAGCTGCATCAGGAGGCTGAGCTGCTGAGGAGGGGTGGGCTGACCCTACTCTCCTGCGTACAGCTTTGGTAAGTTTACACATTATTTACACTTTCAATCACGAAATGATAGTCATTTTACAAAGTGTCTGCTTATTTAAACATTCCCAAAACTATTATTCAATATATTCACATATAAAGCAATGTACATATGTTGGAACTTCGTTTAATGCAATGAGTTAGGCTGCGAACAGTCGGTGACCTAATGCTGATGAAACCACCTCGACAACCGTAAAAATCTTGGAAATTAATGAGTGACAGTTTGTGAAGCAGAGCCGGTCTAGGTGTCGTTAACAAGGACTAACGGTGATAAAAAAAAAGAAACAGAACACACAAGATGATAAGAAACTGTTAAAACTGCACTGTCAGTATTATTCCTGTAAGAAAGGGAAACAGAGGAAAACCTCTTTACGAAGAGGAGTGGACATGAAATGGCTAAACTGCACATCAAACAGCATTCAAACCCTGCTCCCGTTATTATACATAAAATCATAAAAGACTAATTGATCACCTTGCCAACCTGCTGGCTATTTGCTGAAGTGTATTGTGAGTAAAAGCTCAACCCAGTAAGGGCATGTTTCTTGAAACTAAAGGAATTTTCATAAGGATACCACTCTGACCTCAGCCTACATCATGCATTCATAAAACAACACAGGCTCCAAAGTCTTGTGGTTAAGAAGGCGGGGCTTGAGGAGTGGAAGCTTGGCCCTCCACAGCCCAGTTAAAAGCAGCACCAGTTAGTCAGTTAGTCAGTGGCAGGGGGATGAAGCGTGCACAGGAGCAAGGAAGTGGGAGGGGAAAAAGCACTGAACTGTTCTGTCATTGATCCATTTTTAACAGTGGAAAGTAACAGAAAATACCTTTGATATGACACCAAAGCTGATTCCGCTGAGAATTCATCATTCAGGGCTAGAAGAGTTTAGAAAGTGGAATCGAGGTGATCATCTCGGGAACATTTAAGAGCCACATATGAAAAAGAAAAAAATGCTTAAAATCAAACAGTCAGTGAAAACATTAGTCTCTGTAGCACCCCGCAGTATCGTCCTGGGAGAACACTGCACCTGGAGTCTTCGGGTCGTTCAGCGACACTCGAGTCTCCGTCAGTCTGTAGAGCGGGGATCCTCCATGATCCACGGGGCCTGGAGAGCTTCTTGGGCAGCAGTGCAATTCTTAGTTATAAATACGCATAAGAAACTACTTCAGGGCTCAGGCTGGCCAGTACGTACATGAAGGAGTGAATGGAAAGGCAAATCTGTGCTTCTCCTGTGTTGGCGCAGGAAAAGGGTAACAGTGGGCGCTGAGGCTAGTCCTCCTCTGTGTCCTCCTTGGGCCTGTACACAGTGCCAAATCTCTGCATGTACTTCTTGATGTACTCCTTGGTCTTGTGCTTCACATTCTCGTTACACTCAAGGTCCTCAGGATTATTGCAAGCTTTCAACTCCTTGTTCATAACTCCATGAGTAAGCTAGAAGAATGGGCAGAGAGGAGGAAAGAGTTGTCAACAGGGTACAGTTAATTATTTAATCATCATGAATGCAAGTTGTGGTAGAGGGGTGGGCTGGATATTCTTATTTAGTGACATTGCCCTTTATAATTTGAGACAATCAAATGCAATCTCTACACAAGCGAAGCCCAACTTGGCTAATTTTATTGTACCCATGCCCTCAGAGTCGTGGTATGTCTGAGTGCAAACCACTCCCTACATTCACAATCCAGGGAGACAACGAAAACCATGGAGGAGAAAAACAATGCTGTCCTTTGAAGAAATGTTTGGTGGAAAGAGCTTTTAAAAAAGGCACAAAGTAAAACAAAGAGAGGGGGCTAATGGTTTACATGTTCAATGTGTCTTTGGTCTCTTCAAGAGGAGTCGTGGGAGCTCAACTATTTAGTTTTGGTTTGGAGGAAAACTTTGACAACATTGCCTTTTAAGAGAAAGGCTGACCAATGCCGTCATTGTGGTCTGACCACACAGGGGTCAAGGAAAGGTTTACAGATTCTTCTGAGTTTTGAAAGCTGATTGTTTATTCTTACCTTTCTAGCCAGGTGTTTGAAATCTTCCGTGTTGATGATGCGTCCGAGTTTGCAGTCTGGCTTCCGATAAGGATTTAGACACTGGACTATGAACTGGGACATCTGAGTAATGTAGACAAACAGAAAGACTTGTTAAAAGAGAGATGAATATTTAAACAAGACTAAAACCTTGCATGGCTGGCTAGAAGAGGTTTGAATCATGGAAACATCTGGAGTTAAATAACATTACTGCAAACATTGTTTACAGATACTCTGGCTCACCTCTTTGCGAAATGTCTCTTTACTCTTTTTAGCCAGCTCACTGGAAGTGTCTGCTTCAGCTGTCTTTGTAGAGAACTGTAAAGACAGAAAAGAGGGATAAAACGATTAAAACACTTTGTGTGCAACACATCTGTTCCACATTAAACCCTTGGGTTTGCATGTTTAACTTGTCATAAACTAATCCCCACCTAATTCTACTTCTTTCATCACATTGTCAAACGTTTGCTTAGCTATAATGGCAGACAGTAATAGCATGGCATACTGACTAAACCAGGGAGAGTAATTTCCAACGATTAAAATCACAAGTGTGTGCCCACCTGTGCATGA